GAAATGTCTTTTTCTGAGTAAACTTCCAGTTTCTTTCATTGTGTCTATGCTGTGGGGACTAGACAGATCTCTCAGAGACCTGGATAGACATTAAGATTGAATTACATTTGATACGTATTTGTCCTAAAGTAGTAAACAGTTAATATTGTCTAGAAGAAGAGCTGTTGAGTTGGATTCTGCTTCATGCAGATTAAAAATTAATCCCTTGAATGTTCAGAATGTTTATTTTTACTGTCACTTATAGCTAAATGTTTAAGTGTTTCTTCCTTTAAATATATGTGCATCTTAATCATTAGTAGTTAAATTGCTTATATTCTTGAGTCCACACCCAAAATGCCTATTTAAATGTGGAATGGTGTTCAGAGTTGTTGTGTTGTGAAGCAGATTGTGGGTGTGTGCATTATAGCACCAGACAGGTGCTAATTAACCATGCAGTGCTCTTTCAGAGGACAGGCTGCTCTGCTCATACAGGACTGTGATCATTTTTCTCATTGTGTGCTCAGCCACAGGAAAGCACACTAAACCTCTCTGATGGGTTTACATTCTCTCTCAAATTCTTCCCAATTATATGAAATGTCTTCACACAACACTTTGTAATTAACATTGTATTCTCTTGTCTGTCCTCAGTTTCTCAGAAGTCAAGCTGCAAGCAGGACTAAACTCCAAAATGAATGTACTGGGACTACAGCTGCTCATCCTTTTTTAAGCTGTAGCTCCTTATTATTGTCAGAAGCAGTCTGGACAAAAGCAATATTCACTTAGAGGGAGCTGTGATATTAAGCAAATGCAAGCATCCCTAAATTATTTTAGCGATAGGAATTGTCTTATGACACAGTTGCTTGTGTACATGCAAGCAACAGCTGGAGTTGGACAGTCAAAAAGCTTGTACAACGACTGCCATGGATGAAGATGAAACATCATAAATTCATAACTGACAGCCACTCTGAGCCGTCTGCAGGGGCAGAGGAAACATGTAGGTTCATTAAAAAAAAACAGGAGGACGATCCCCTGTCGAGATGCCCTCTTACTACATAAAAATTTAGCGCACCAAAATAACCAAACAAATTGGTTCAAGAAACAATCCAATGACACTGGTTTATTGCAAAAATTGAACAAAAAGAAAACGAACAGGCGTTACTCGGTCGGCTGATATCCAGAAGCTCCGGCGGTCCGCAGTCTGGAGCCCCGGGAGAGGAAACGCTCCAGTCAGGACAGCCGGCCGGAGAGACGGTGGCCACCCGGGACCGCGAGGTGAGGCCGGCTGCTCTCCGGGATCAACTGCTGCTTAAACAGGGGAGAAAAAGCGTTTTTTATACATATAGTCGCAAGTTCTGGCCTCTCGCCTTAACCTGTACAAAGTTACACCACTTTTGGAAAGCAAAAATAAACGGTTTAGTCGTAGGGAAGTGTTCAACGGAGCGAAACCCTGTTTTACCCGTACTGACCATTTCCCTGTGGTATTTTCCCCCACCCTCAGATTAAGTGAGCGCAGCTGTGGGCTTCTTCACAATCTACTGCTTTGCCATGCTGAGAAAAGTCCATTGGTCCTTGGATTTCTCCGACTACAACCACAAAGATCTCTTTAAACCCGAAAGCAAGAGGCTCTGCAAGCAGAGTGCAGACCGGTTGGATTCTTACCTTCGAACTGACCGCTCATCTGTCCAGTTTCACGCCACACGGGAGCTCTGCGCTTCGGCGTCCAGGCTGGTGTAGAGGACAGAAAGGCCGGGAAGCTGGAGAGGAGAAACTAGTGAATAAGACAACTGCTGAAACACCACTAACAGACCTGAGCAAACATTAAAAATACAGGTAGCTATTTTAAATAGTAGCAACAACGATCCGTTCAATTTCGTCTGTTGAAAGATACGAAGGTTACTGGTTTAGTTTGAGTTCATCCAGAAAACCTTTTCTAAAAATGCAGTTACTGGTCGCCTTCTTAATTATTCTGAAGCTCTGATTCCTTTTCATGTTTCATTTTGAACTACTCCCATCTAAATAGGAAGAAAACATTCCGGCATTCTGCTACCCAAATGAAGCAAAACATCCCGAAATTATTTTTATGTCACTGCAGAGCCACTATTTAAGGATAAAAACGCACTACTCCTGCCAGAACAAGTTTTAAAGGACACTAATTGAAGGCTGATAAAGATTAATCACACCTGGCTTTGGACTGTTAATTAATTAGACATGTCTAAAACACGGACTGGATCGTGGAGTTGACATGGATCCCTCAGTCTTTCCGACACAAGTAACGGGAGTCAATCCCGTTCCATACTTTTAACTACACCGCTGATGAAATAACATTATTAAAACTTTAATTGAGGATTTACGATCTGTTTACAGTTTAATTCAAAATACAATGTTCATCCCCATCTATCATCAATAGTAAAAGGTTACAAGTTAGCGACACCCTTGCGCCAGAAACAGTGTTTCAGAATTCCGTCTTTTAGCTTTGGGTCAAGCAGTAAGAATTATACTGTTAGTGTTTGACAGTCAGTCTCACCTGTGATTACTGTACTGTGATTACTGTACTGTACGTCACTCACTGACCGTGGTTCCCTTTTCACTGTAAAACCTGTGTATACAGTGTAGAACACGATATAGACTTTTAATGACTTTTTAAAGTAATCAAAATGAATTTACATCTCTTTTAAGATGACACTTAAAGGTATGAGTTATTACAAATCTCCTAAACACCTGTCGCACACTGCTTCCACTAGTTCACTACCAGGTGTCTGATATTCATAAAAAACACTTTCACCACCTGCACTGTGCACTTGACTACAATAACTTTCACATATTATAGTTTATGAAATAATAGCGTCTCTCATAGTAATAATAAGAAGCGATGTGATGCCCCATTTATTGCAAAACTAACTTTTACACCCTTGTCACTGTTCTGTTTTCTATGCATACACCAGTTCACTTTTTATTTCCATACATGGCTTTTGATTTTTAAATCTTTAATCTTTAAGCTTCTATGTTGAACCTTGTCAAACGCCCATGGAAATATAAATATACTGTCGTGACACCTGCTGTTCTGAGGAAATAAAGGGATA